ATGAATCAGATACAGAGAGTATACAGGCTTTTGATACTTCTCTCTGCTCCTCATTCCAGAAGGGGCTCATGGTGGTGATAATGGACAACTAGAAAATAGAGGTAATGGAGATGTAAACTTGTATTAGAGAATAAAAATTGACTGCCACCATTTCTACCTTCGGGGAAGGGTAATGGCATACTGTATATCAGTGGGAAAGCTGATCACTTTGAGGCATTGTACTATTTCAAAGACTGGAAGACGGGGGAAGCCAAGAATTTAGGGACTGGAAAATCTAGTAGCAGGGAGATATGGGAGATTCTGGAGAGAGACAGAGCTCAACCATAATGGTGAAAGACCTAATGAGAAAGGGGAAGGGGTGGGGCAGCTGAGGGGATGTAGAAATCTTTCATCACCTCGAACCTCTGGCAACATTTGCTGTATTTACTCTTGTGAGTGATGAACTCAAGGAAAATGATGTGGATTCCATGCTTTCTGGGCCAGGAGCGGAGGGAACAGAAGAACCCTATGAGATGAGTTGTTGAATGTGAGAGCTTAGGGGTCAAGGACATACCAGCCTCCTGGAACTGGCAAGAATCACAGGACAGGGATAAACCAACCTGATTTACATCTGAAAGCACAGGAAGACCTCACCTACCTAAATAAAATTGAGCCCTGCACCCGTAGCGGCCATCTTTTAGATATTAAATACTTCAAAACGAAACAGTTTAGGAGAGAAGACAGGAATAGCGCTCTGAAGGCAAAAGCCACGCCACAGAGCATGTGCTTGGGTTTTTTAATTAGGAAAAGTATTTTTTTCACTCTGCGCTTTGTTTTTGTTTTTATTTTGTTTGTTTACTTGTTTTGGTAGGCTTCACACCTAGGGTGGAGCCCAGTGTGGGGCTTGAACTTACGACCCTGAGATCAAAACCTGAGCTGAGATCAAGAGTTGGACACTTTGAGCCACCAGGCACCCCTGAGCATTTTTTTAGCCATTTACTACCTCCCTTTTGCAGTGTCCTTCCTCTGAGAGGCAGCTTGATACAGCGGGAAGACACACAGGCTTTCTGGTCAATCACATGGGCTTAACCTGCACGCCTGTCTTCTATTTGTAAAAGAGAGACGATAATGCCCCCTTGCAGCATTGTGTAAGGATTCCGGAAGACAACACATGGAAAGAACTTAGCGAAGTGACTGGCAGTAGACATTCTGTCTGTTCCGCTGTCTCGTCAGATTGTGTTGACAGACCGAGTAAACAAATGGATCATGGCAAGATCAAATATAAAAACAGAACTCTGACCCACACTCTGCAGCTGCCAGGCCAGGAAACCAGTCCATTATCTATAGTAGGCAGACCAGAAAGCCACCTTCTTATGTACAAGTCAGACCTGTATCTCTAGCATGCTGGCCAGTAAGACCTGTGACACTCTATGCCAAACAGCCAACACTTGATTAATGACTGGCAGCTTCTTCAGGTTTTGTCCCTGCTTTCAACGTAAAACCAACCAGAGAAAGCCAAATGCACACCCCTAACCAATCAGACAGGATGTCATGCTTCTACTTTGCTCTGCCTGCAGCTTCCCAGGCCAATAGCCACCAACCAGGCACACCTGATATCTTCCTTTTTTTTCCACTATAAAGTTTTCCCATTCTACCACTGGCTTTTGAGTCTCTGCCAAAATGTAAGTCATGGCTCTTTTGCAAGCCATGCCATGCAACCCATATAGCTCTTTTGCAAGCTCTGGATAAATAGTGTTTGTCTATTCTCATTTGGTTGGTCTTCAGTTACTTCCACGGTGTCTTTTTTTTCTTTTTTTTCTCTCAATTCTCTCTCTGTATGGACTAAGTGTGTGTGTCTTCCCCAAATCCATATGTTGAAACCCTAATTCCCAACATGATGGTATTTAGGGATGGGGCCTCTGGGAGGTGATCAGAGTTAGATGAGGTCATGAAGGCCTGGAGCCCTCAGGATGGGATTTGTGCCTTTATAAGAAGAGAGGTGAGAGCATGGGCTCCCTCTCTCTCATCTCCTGCCTCATATGAAGACACAGCAGGGAGGAAGTGGCAGCCATCTGCAAACCAGAAGAGAACTCTTACCAGGAATACAATCAAGTGGCACCTGATCTTGGGCTTCCAGGACTCTAGAACTGTGATAAAATAAATTTCTGTTGTTTAAGCACTTTGTTAGGGAAGCCTGAACAGACTAAGATATCCCCCTTTTTACTTTGTCCCCCTTTAGACCCAAAGCTCTGGACCTTCCAAACCCCTCTGGTCCCACCACACTTGATCTGTCCACCATCAAACAGGGGTCATGCACTCTAAAGTGACAACTTGACCAGTATATGCTCGTGTGGTGCATGCACATTGCTCAATCCAGGCTACAAATGTACTGATGGGTCCTCCTGGAGAGAGTACCTTAAGGAAAAATGACTGACTCCACTGGTTTGAATTTCCGGCATCATGGAAGGTTCAGAAGGGAGAGAGCTCAGGGCAGACAGAGGCACTTTTTCTATCTCTCATATCAGCCTCTGGGAGCTTCCTTATTGCTTGTAGCTTCTAGATACTACCTATACATCCAGATATGTCTGATCTTGGTCATTACCCATTCACTGAGAATGTAAGTTTTGAATGTTTAGATATTCATCAGTATAAGATCTCTATCTATCTATATATCTATCTATCATCTATCTACACAGTCTCAGCATTGGGTCTCTCAGGGTTCAAGCATAAAGTTTACCCAGAGAAGTGCATGAAAGGATAATTTTTTGTGGGGGCTGAGTTGACAGTTAAAAAAATATCTCATATACACAGCTAGCATAATGATGGATGTTTATACAGACTAAAGGGCCAGTGGGCTATTACTTTATATTATAAAATGTATGTAATCATGGAAAATTTTAGCCCCTGGATAAGCAAGGGAGGAAGGAAGGAAGGAAGAAAAAAAGGAAGGAAAGATAAAATTCTACCACTCAGAGATAGTTACTATAACATTTAGTGTTTGTCCTTCCTGACATTTTCAATCATCTATCTATCACCTATCTATCCATCTATCCAACTAGCTATCATCTATATGTGCATGCACATGCATATTCTATTTATTATATATTAATATACTTAAAAAAGTGATATTTACATGTTTCTGTAATTAAGTACTTAATAATTAAATAATTAAATACTATAACTGTTTCAACAGTTATAGTATTTAATGTATTTATCTGATACCTGATAGAAGAAGGATGTCTTCCTCCTTTCCTTTTTCAGACAAATATTCTGACTTTTGACCAAAGCCACTCACAATAAATAAAATGAATGCATTTGTGTTTAGTCTTCCCGACGGCTCTTGTTCTTCTAGAAAAACCAGGCTGCAGAGACTAGACTGGCATGAGGGAGTCTGTGTGGAGGATCTGCGTAGAGGCCAGAATGAGCCACGAGCTGAACGATAGGTATTTCATGGGCGGAAAATTTCCAAGCAGCCTGCACACACCTTTGGGTTACTCTCGTCAATCATTGTGGGAGTCAGTTGCCTATAACTGTGTCTCCCACTGGATGAGAGGTTGTCAAACCTGGTTGCACATTAAAATCATCTGAAGAGCTTTTCCAAAGTAATGATGCCAGACCTCCCTCCAAACAAAGTGAATCAGAATTTCTCAGGCAGTGGTAGCTGGTATTGGGGCATTTGAAAAGCTCCCCAGGCAAACCCTTGTGCAGCCAGAGCTGAAACCCAGTGCACGAGAACAGGCTTCCTCTAGCCAGGAATCGTGCCATTTACTCATTTGGCATTCCCGGTCCTTTGTAGCACCGCTGACATGTGGGGAGCACAGCAGAAATGAACTGAATTCAGATGAAGACACTAACACTTACACATCTCTACCAGTTCTTATAGAGAGAGGGACACAGATTATCAGTGCCCACTTGGGAATCCATGTGACTTTCTCACTGGACGAAGTAGCTTCAAGAGGGAGGAAGATGAGTGTGGTCTCGGTCCAGTAAAGGTACTGGCTCAAAGTCTGAAAAGAGGTAGACTTAGAGACCATTTAGTCTGTCCCCTTATCTTAACCTCTTGAAGGCCAGAGAGGTTATTGCAAGGTGGCACAACTCTTAGTGGCACATCTAGAACAGAAACCAACTCTTCATAGTCCACGTAGCTGCGTTCTAGCTTGCTGTCCTTGCGTGAGTGCATGTGGGTGAGTATGTAGATGTGAGTGCATATGAGTGCATAAGTGTGTGTGTGACAGACTGGGTGTGTGAAGGGATGTGTGTGTGTACAAGGAACGGGAGGAGGTGGGGAGCCTGAGGAGAGAACTAGTTGCATTATAATAAATGGAAAACCAGGAGCCCTTGCCCCTCTCTTTCTGGCAAAGTGAACTTGGTTCACTGAGTTCTCTCCAGGTTGGTCTCCGTCGGGTCCAGTAATATTTGCTTGGGAGGCAGGCTAGGCCTTCAGGTCCCGGTGCCTGCCATGGGGGAGGTGTTCTGCATCAAGGTTTACTGCAGCAGGATCTGGGAAGGGCTGTAGCAGGTGGTCTCAGGCTCATTCTGAGGTGAAATTGGCCATTTTTTGCCTAGCTTAGGGTCCAGGATTGTTCTGTGGATAGACAGCAGTTTTCTCCATCTGTAAATTTAAGTCAGATAGAAATGTCTATCCTCATGTTTCACCAAATGTGTGCTCCTTGGACAGCTGTCTTTTCACCCCAGTGTCCTCCAGGGTGTTCCTTTTTTCCAGGCCTAAGAAACTGGGGGGGGGGGGGGGCTTTGGATCATGGCCCCCAAAGTCCCCCCTTCCTTCCTTCTTTGAGTTTTCAGGGAGGCCACCTGGAAGAGACAGTACCTACTGGGAGAGCCTTTGGTGGATCTACTCTGCTGGTTGAATCCTGATAGAATAATGCAGGCTTATTTTATTCAGGCAAAGCGCAAGCTCTTATTTGCCAGAAAAAAACAAAAAAACAAAACAAACAGACAAACAAAAAACACTGCAGAAGCAAAATTACCCAAGAGTTGGGTAATTCTGATTAGAGACTTACCGGAGCAGTTGGAGATCACAGTCTCGTGGGCTTTGCTCTTAATCCAAATGGTTCTGATCACAATGGCATAGATGACACTGTGGAAAGGAGCAGAGGTAATATTAACATGGCTGGTGGGTTCCTACAGTGAAGACACAGAGACAGGAGGACTCCCAGGTCCCGGAGTGTGAGGTATGGAGGGAGGGGTCTCTACACCATACCTGGTCCCTGTCCTTGCTGATTATAGAATCCTAGAAGATGACAGCTACCTCTTTTTTAACTGAGGACGCTAGGACTTGGTGAAGTGAAATGGTTTCTCAAGATAACTCAGGTGGTTAGAGATCTAGCTGAAGAATAGCTGACATTAGAATCCAAACACAGGGTTTGGAGTCAGAAAGATTTATGTTTGTAACCAGCACTGCTACTTGCTGGTTGTATGACCTTGACCTTAGACACTCTTTAATGTGGCCCCATGATTCCTGTCTCTGGTGTTCATGCCTTTGTGAGATCCCCTCCCCTTGAGTGTGGTGAGAACTGTGACTTACTTCTAATCCGTGCAGTGGGCCGAAGGTGATAATGTCTGTGATTGCACATAAGCGTAGTGCCTGTCTTGCTAGTGTCTCTCTCTGTTGCTGCCATGAGTCCTACACCTCCAGAAAATTAATTCTGCCAAGAACCCAGGAGAGCTTGAAAGAAGATCCTTCCCCAGTTGAGCCTCTGATGATATCCCAGCCCTGGCAGACACCTTGATGACAGGTCCAGTTAAGCCATGTCCAGACTCCTGACCCATAGACACTGGAGCTAATACATATATGTTGTTTTGAGTCATTGAGTAACCCAGCAATAGATAAGCAATACACTGAGTGATAGAGGCTGAATGTATCTCCACCCCCAAATTTATATGTTGAAATTTTAACGACCACAGTGATAGTATTAGGAGGTAGAGCCTTTGGGAAGTGATTAGGTCATGAGGGTGGAGACTTCATGGATGAGATTAGTGGTCTTATCAAAGAGACCCCACAGAGCTCCCTAGCCCCTTCTGCCATGTGAGGACACAACAAGATGTCTGCCACGTGGAAGAAGGTTGTCACCGGAAGCTGACAGTGCTGGCACCCTGATCTTGGACTTCCAGCCTCCAGCACTGTGAGAAGTAAAGTTCAGTTGTTTACAAGCCACCTAGTCAGTCTGTCTGTTGTTACAGCAGCCCGTACCAACTAACACACTCTGTTGACACTAAAATGCAGTTAATAATGCAAACTTCTTATGAGATTTTTGGGATCAAATGTGACAACATTGAAAATGCCAAGCACAGTGCTTGGAAATTAGCAGAGACTCAATCAATAATCAATCTTTCCCCTCTTTCTTTTCCATTTTTCACATAATATCACATCTACTTTCGCATGATATAATCAATACCTAACAGGAAAGCAAAGTGTAAGTGACTCAAAAGCATCAGCAAATTTTGTATCTTTTGTCTCCTTTAATGAATATAAAAATGTATACTGTAATCAGTTATTTGTTGTTTCTAATATATTAAGAAACTCAACAAAAACTTTGGGACAAAACATTGCTTTATTTTGTTTTATTTTATTTTATTTTTAAATCTTCTTAAATGTTTATTTTTGAGAGAGAGAGAGAGAGACGGAGTGCAAGTGGGGGAGGGGCAGAGAGAGAGGGAGACACAGAATCGGGAACAGGCTCCAGGCTCTGAGCTGTCAGAACAGACCCTGACGTGGGGCTTGAACTCATGAACTGTGAGAGCTGAACCTGAGCGGAAGTCAGATGCTTAAGCAACTGAGCCACCCAGGTGTCAAGCATTGCTTTATTTTAGAACTGCACAAATTTCCCTCCTGAGAATCACTGGTTAAAACAAAATCGGAGCTCTGGTCTGCAGTAGCTGACAAAGCACTAATTGTTTTTAGTGATCTTTACAATATAACTTAATTAATGACCGTGTTAAAACCTTCTGCTCCTTATTGCTTTTCCTATTCTTGCTCACTGAACTCCTCTGAATGCTCCAGGTGAGCTTGGGACCTTTTTCGAGCATCCCCACTCCTTCTCATCTACCTGTCCAGGGATTTTTCTGGAATTTGTAAGTCTACTTCAAAGAAGAAATGAGAAAAAAATTACTTGTGAGTCTATTCTTTACCCTAAGTTGGGCATTTGTTATAGCAAGGAGACTTTTTCCCCAGGAAATGAAATATAAGGAAAGGTTACAACCACTGTGAAACATTAATTATGTATTACAATTGCAACCTCAGTGCTAAGTCAATTAATAATTCAAATATTCATTGACCACCTGCCATATACACAAAGGAAAATTAAGGAAGGTGTTATGTGTTAGCGGTTTAAGGCTAAGTCATCCCCACCTAATCTACATAGGACCAATCAGGCAAGTGGAAAACAGCTCCTAATAAGTAGGGTGTCCCTTTATTACCCAAATCAGGCCACTTCTCAGAGCAGAGCAGAGCAGAGCAGTCATACATCAGAGAAATCTCTGAATTATATTTGTCTCCTTCTCCCTCCTCATTTCTTTCATCAGCAAGTTCTGTGGACTTTCCATTCAAAATGTCTCCATGATTTGTTACTTCCTCTCGTTTGCTGCTCCTCAACATCAATCCAGATCCTTCCAACCTCTTTTTTTATACTTCGACAATTTAAAAAAAAATGTTTATTTATTTTGAGAGAGAGAGACTGAACAAACTCACACACAGGGGAGGGGCAGAGAGAGAGAGAGAGAGAGAGAGAGGGAAACTGTGAATCCCAAGCAGGTTCTGCACTTCTGCACTGTCAGCATAGAGTCCAACTCAGGGCTTGATCCCATGACCCTGGGATCATGACTTTAGCTGAAATCAAGAGTTGGATGCTTAACCAACTGAGCCACTCAGGTACTCTGACAACTTTTTTTATTGTGGTAAAATAAACATAGCAGAATTTACCAGTTTAGCCATTTTTAAGTGCACAGTGTGGTGGCATGAAGTACATTCACATCATTGTATAACCATCACCATCCTCCATCTCCAGAATTTATCATCTTCCCTAAGTGAATCTCCATGCCCATTAAAAGTATAGAAGGCTTCATGAGTGTTCATGTTATACTCATGCAAGGGCCATACTAATCTTCTCTGTATGATTCTAATTTCAGTATGTGTGCTGCCCAAATGAGCACCCCTTGTGACCTCTTGCCTGATTATGGTGATCTTCCAATTCCTCTACTCAGCTACCATCTTGAATGTCCATGCCACCATCAAGGTGGAGCTCTGGGACACAGAGTCATTCTCTGGCTTAAAACACTCCAGTGTCTCCACATTCCTACAAGATGGTATCCAGTCTCTTATGCAGGGCATCCAAAGCCTCCCACAATCTGCCTCTGCCTTCCTTACCTTATCATCATCATCCTGCTTCCTTCCACCCCACTGTCTCTCAATGACATTTCTCCATATCAGTGATGGGAGCAGCCAATAGGGGCAGGCCAACAAAACTAACCTTGACTCCATGCTTCACATGTAGTTGACTTTGGGTGAATCTGAGTTCCAGTGTCTTCCATCTGTCAGCATCCACTTTGCTCTCTCATTGAAATGCATTTTTAAGCCTATTCTCTGTATTTCACTTTGCTATGAAACCTTTCTGAGCTGTGCTTGTTCCCCAGTGATAATTAGCTCCCTCTTCCTTGGGGCTTCCATGATAGTATAACACTGGTTACACTGATTCTTGTCTATGGTGGTCATGACCTAAAGATCAGCAGACTTATAAATAGCCCATTTGTAGAAAGAGAGCTAAAGAATAGCATCTCCATTCTTTTAGTCCAACTTCTTCCATGTCTTCAATCTATTTCCATTTTCTTGACAAGTGCAGCTTTCCTTCAGGCTTCTTAGAAACCTGAAAACTGAAAGATCACCTAGATTGAAGAAAGTATCCCTTATCGGTAACTGGCAGGTGGAGTTCCTGATTTTATGGAAGACTATCTGGACACAGACCCATTTCCTTTCATTGCCTTTATAGAGGCAGCTCATGGTGAGAGGAGAGTGAAAGCCTAAGCCAGAGAAAACCTTGTAGGACTCTTAGGAGGATGCCTGAACCCGGTTCCTTAGTTCTGAGTCTGGATTATGTGTAAGAAGTGTTGAGGAACCAGAACAAAACCTTCGCTCTTCCTTTGAGACACCATGAGAGCATCCCATTCAGACTACAGGTGTCTGACCCCTGCAGGACTCAGCACAAGGCTGGGGACTTGATGGATGTCCACTGCAATCTTGGAGCCATACGCCTTCAGAGTCAGACAGGGCCTAAGGCTGCATCTCTGCCTCACCTTTGGGGCCTGAGGATGGTGTCGAATTGTGCTCTAAAGGTCTCGCTGGAGGTCAGGCATAGGGAAGACAGGCAGGGGGAGTTGGTGCTTCACTGGATAGGCCTTTTTTTCTCCTCTCCCAGCAGGGGCTTTAAGAATACTCCTTAGTTGAAAGTGTCTCTCTCCTTCATTAATTAATTCATTCCACTATATGCATTTGAGCACTTTTTTGTATCAGGCACCTGTTGAGCCACTGTGGATACCACGGCAGAAAAAAACAGAGTCCTACCCCTCATGGAGCTCATATTGTATTTGTGGAGATAGACGATAATAAAATGAGGACACAGTAATATATGATTATAAAGGAGCAAAATCATATGGAGATAAAATGTAGGGTGACACAAGAGTATATAATAAGGGCCCTGACTTGTTCTGGGGGTCAGACTTCAGTTTTGAGAGATTCGGTACTTGTCTGAGTTCACACAACTAGAAAATGGGACTGTAGCCTGGGTCCTCTGACTTCAAGGACTGTTAACCAACTTGTTAACAAACTTGTAAGGAGGGTGCACAGCCTCCTCTGGGGGCTGTATTGGGTCACGCATACTATATATGGTTCTAGTTATTTGCTTCTTTGATTCCTAGACCAGCTTAGCCTCTCTGCTGTGGATCCCCTAAGGGGGCTCTCTATTTGCCCTACCATAGCACTCATCACACTGCTACAACATCTTCCTTAATTGGCTGCCTTCTCTGTTATACAAGAAGATTCTTAAATTCAAACAGCATGTATGTCTTGTCATTTCTGTATCCCCTTTG